TATTACACTACAATGGTGAAATTAGCCGACTGTCTCTTTCCAATGGCAACAAATTTCAAGTAGCAATTAACAATTTCATTGATGCCGGCACCGGAATTTGCACTCAAGTTGATTGTGTATAATGAAGTAAAAGCGAGCTTTGCTACTCAAATCCAAAATTTAGACGCCATTAATTTTCATACTCGTATGTATGTATATCCTCTATGGCAAGGATGAGCAACGCGCGGCCTCTTGCGGCCCCCTAAACATGTTTATGCGGCCCGCCAAGCATTTCTAAAATTGAATTTATTTTATCGAATTTATCCCATCAATATATTGTTATAAAATTAATTATAATAAAATGGTAGTATATACTGAACCGAAATATTTTTTGTTCGTATTTCTGTTCTTTTCTCGTTTGTTTTTGCCTTCCATTAAAATTTGTATATGATGTCTTTACTTTTTTTTAATTTTATATTTTTTTATTCTAATATTTATTATAAATAAAGTTTCGTAAATTATTATGCGCGGCCTACCAAAAAAAATTTAAATTTAAATTGGCCCATTGATTAAAAAGGTTGCTCACCCCTGCTCTATGGCAATGGACATGGGTATAAAAAAAGATTACTACGTTTCATTACAAAATAAAAACCTTATTGTTCCTGACGCTACGTTTTGAATACAAGAAGGTCATATGAAGGCAACCTCGATCCCATTCGTGCTCACCCGACCCAATCGTTGAAAGTTCAAATATCCAATAAATTCCCGGCGCATCGGGCGGAGTTTGAAACGAAAGTAGCTCTCATTTCATCGCGACTCGCCGTCGGGCGTCCGACGTAGACGATACGACTACGCGACGAAAAGGGCGATTCTGCTTACGATATGCATTTTTAAACGGTTTTATTTAGCTCGACCCGTACGGAATTTATTTGTTTATTTGGGTCAAAATTAGAAATTGAAATTTAAGCACCTTCCCGTTGTCAGATTGATCTGAAATTTGGTACACACATTTAATTTAGATGACAATACAATATTGTAGTTTTCAGTGCACAAAAAAAAACATAAAATAAAACCGTTTAACTTGAAAGTTTTTAAACGGTTTTATTAAACGTGTACCTATCATGGAAGTATAAAAAAATATGAATTAATTTTGATTATAGAAAATAATTTCGAAAGGCATTTAAAAACTTTTTCTAAGAATATCATATCGCGGTATATAAGGTGGAATATGTTTATAATTTCATTTTAAAATACACCACAACCAATTATCACAGATTGAAAATAGTCATTTATATTTATTTAATAATAGGGTATCCATACATACAATACTTTCTTCGTTATCGAACTGTTTGTTGTTTAGTTTGATTCAGTTTTATACCGAGTATTTTCATGACGCAGTCTGTCAGTAATATCTGCTTATTTTGTCATTTTGTGTTTGTGTTGTACACTTGTAACTGCATTTACGATTGAATGAATGAATGTATGAAAACTTAAATTCATTGTAAGATAATATAATACGTAAAATAAATAAAGGCAGATAAATGTCACTTATTTCCCATGTAATTCTATCAACAAACGGTAGCGGACAAAGTCATCATGTCATTTTAGTCTTACTTGTTCTTCTTTCTTCATTAAAATGATTACCCCTATGGTAGTCATCACAGCTTAGGGGATATAATTATCTATTTTTTACGGGTATTATTGTATAATAAATATAAACATAAATACGGGAGTGAAAAACAAACATCATTAGCTGTGTGTCATACGATCTATTGTACTTTGCCAGATACGACTTCAGCAAACTTCAGCAAAGTCATCGACAATTTTTTTCTCTATAAGCGGAATATCCAGAATTTTTGCTTCCCGTTGTCACCCTAAGCCACATTGCGTGTAAAACGGAGACCGTAAAATTTCTGCGCGGCCGCTGCGGCTACGCTATGTCGCGGAGAGTCTATTAAAAGTCAGAGTTTCCCCTTTTAAGGCGCGAATCGATAGGGGCATCCTGCTGATAGTGTTTCCATTGTACGTGGAATACGAAATAGTTGTGTGAAGAGATAGTGAAGAGTTCATTACGTTTATTACAAGAATTGTTTATATACGCATAATTTATGGATTTTGAAGTAATAGTATATAAATAATATAAATCAACAATGATTGTGATATTATTTAAGTCATCACTACATAGTATAAAACAAAGTCGTCCCGCTGTCTGCCTGTCCCTATGTATGCTTGGATCTTTAAAACTACGCAACGGGTCTTGCGGTTTTTTTTACTAGAGTGATTCAAGAGGAAGGTTTATATGTATTACATGGCACCCGTGCGAAGCCGAGGCGGGTCGCTAGTTGATTTATAAATTACAAAGTTATTTTATATTTCAGAGTGAATAATTAATTAATTAATTCAGTAAGCTTAATGAAGTTTTATACATTTTCGCGTTTTAATTTGAGTTTTAGTTTTAAGGTTAAATAATGACAATAGGCGTTTAAAAGCTGGTTTATTGAAGCAGCTCATTTTTAACTGGCCAGCACTTGACAGCCATCCATGACGGTAAGCGCGCTAGCTCAGTAAAAACCTATTAACTCTTACCTTGATGACGACGCCTACTTTGGCGTCTCCGCCGAGTGTTGCTTCTACGGGTGTTGTCAAATTTTCTCTATATATACTAGCTACTATAGCCATAGTTTAAGAATGACTTGAGACAATGATGACAATGAGATATCTTGCATGTAGACAGCCATTACAAGACATCCCGAGCAAGCGTATTTTCAGGTTTTTTTTTAATGTAAGTTAGAAATCTGACTACTTTAGAGGGGAAAACAGAAACTTGTACGCTGACTGTAAAATATTAATAGAAAAGGAAAGTGTTTCATTTCATAAAAAAAAAGAAAATTTACTGAATATAACGCATACCCAGAAAAAAAACTAATAAACTGAATGTCAATTTAAGTAAATGATATGATAGTTACGAACAAAACATTTTCGAGAGACATAACTTCTCCGTTCACGTGACGAGACGTGACGTATCTAAGAATGAAAACGCGTACCGACAGTAGGTCACTGATGCTTCGGTGTCATGCGAAGTTCGGAACTGTGCAAGCGAATGCATTACGGCGGAGTTCGAATACTCGATGATGGGGTGATAAGTTCAACGACCCATCGGTCTACGGAGAATTGTAGACATTCGAGAGAGATAACCGTAGCGATTCCGTAGCTTATTACATATCATACTCTTTAATGCAATAAATAAATTTTAAAAAATCTAAATTTATAAAAAAAATCTAATTTTCGAGTCAGCTTAAGCTATCAACAATTTTATGGTCAACAAACTATATGTGATTTACCTCACGCCTCAAGTAAAGAATATTTTGATGTTAACTCGGATGGCACAGTTGTTAATCGGTGGAGTTCATCGCCGCGGGTAATTGATTCAAATCCCACTTGTACACGTATTCGTAAGAAGTATAGCAATATACCTTTCTGATTTGGGCGTTTTTTTTAACTGATGCTTGTGAAATGCGTCTTCTATCCTATAGTTGGTGTACTGTTGAAAAATAATATTCTCTTCTTATCATGTTCTTAATGTTCAACGAATTATCCATATAAAATTTGCATATTACTAATACTCACCCCAAGCTATACTTCCATAAAATATAAAAACAATAAAATTGAACTGCCTGTTTCTAAATAATTGCAAAAAGTTTTTGATAAAAACTGGTAACACGAACCCTAATCATAAATTACCATCCTTAGAGTTTTTGTTAGTTCGTCTGATATTTATCCAGTATAGAGTTACAATAGGACATAATACAGTATAAATTAATCAATTTAAGTATAGACATAAGCTAGTAAATTAATAACAGAAGAAAACTTGTCATCTAATCGATTCAAAGAAAAAAAAACACTGAGTGTGAGACGACGAGAAATAACTTCCACGGAATACCTTGTTACCAGAAATTAGGGCAACGACTCGGGGTCATTTTCGCCGTATGTGGTCGACACCAATCTCTGGGTCTTGAATGACATAAAAGTATCACAAAGCCCAGATCCAGTAGGGTGAGTTCAAAGAAAATCCCCAGTTTCCAAATAACAGCGGATGGAATTGCCACTTGATTATGTATTTTCTCCAATTTCGATGGTGCAAATTTTGAGACGAAACGCACCGTCTCTCTCTCTCTGCATTTTTGGCACTAATTATTTTAATTCTAGTTCCTTATGGTCCCCAATGTTTTAATGCGCATAATAATCTGATGAGATTTACATCATCATCATTTCAGCCTGTTTTTGCACACTGATGATCATAGGACATCCCTCACGGTCTGCCACGAGATTTTGGGTCAATAATATTGTATTGCATTGGATATAATTGATTTTTTTCATGTGAAAAGATGGCAAGGGCGCTGGCTGTTCACCTTATGGTAAGTGATAATCGCCACCCATTGCCATTAGCAACACCCGTAGTGTTTCAGATGCGTTGCCACTTTCTACAAGGTCGTACTTACCCGGACGGACCTGCCCATTCGTGCAACAGAGAAGACTGTTACGTAGCCCTACCACTGCGACCCAACTATATGTATCAAAGTTTTTGATCATGAATGACGAAATGTTTTCTGTACGTACGTTTATAACGTAAACTTTACAGTATTTTGACGGTCAGATTTGATTGCCCTCACGAAAGAAATTTCGCTAGCTAAAGAAGCTTTTACCGCAAATCCAACATGGTCCAAAATGCAGGGATTAAAACTTCCTTATCGCAGACGAATTCAAACAAATAAAACTAGATTTAGCGAGTTTCAAATTGGAGGAGTTTGCGAGCTGAAGCAAGCAAATTAGTCTGTTTGGAGAGAATAGTTTGCCGTTCGGGCTTTAAACTTCAAAAGTTCTTAATTTGTTCTTCTTTATGTTACATTTTGGTTGTAAACATCTTTCACTAACGTTGACTTAAGTTTTATTTTGCTTTAGAGATAAGGTTCCGTTGCGAAGTTTAAATTTATTTAAATATTTCTACGACAAAATGCACCAACCTGCATCTCCGGTGAGCCACCTTCGTCTCTTATAAGCAATAGGTAACTGTGCCCGTCGATTATTACTTCTTTCTTAAAGCGACCGCCTAAAACAACAAAAGATATTATCAATATCAACTTATCAACCAAAGCCTGACATCTGTCGATGAAAACACACATCACAACAGTACGAAAAGAAATATAAAGTACCGCCATCTATTATCATAGCCACGAACGTTAAAATAAAAAGTTACAAGGTTTACTTCTAAACCGAAACAAGAGATGGCGCTTTACAGATATAATACAATTTATATAGCCCGGGAAAATTACGCATTAGTAAATTATAGAGATAAATAAAAGTAATATTGGATTATTTAATCCAAAGGCGAAGATGGAGATTACGGATTTTTGCGCAAAGAGTTTCCATAATTCGCTTACCTATTCTTCATTACGAATATTAAACTAATTATCTGTTGTCTTCTTGTCAAAGTGGAAATGTAGTTTAAGAAACATTTAGTTGACAAAATACCTTCTGGACTCTCCTCTTGCATGTATGCACCGGTAAGATAACGGTGTACCAGCGCAGACTTCCCACTGTCCGCTGAGCCCAACACACCCACGCGAAGCTCTGTAACCCCACGGGATGCGGTCCATTCTTGACTGTTGACGAACGAATCTGTAAAGGCGAGAAAACATAGTTTTAATAATCAGTACAAAAAAATTTGAACCGAGTTTATTAGCCCGCCATCTATTAACGTTAAAGAGCACTAATATATACATTTCAGAAAACAGAGGGCGGTATAGGCAAAGTTATTATCAAAGCATTAAAAAAATTTTTTTAACGGCAAAAGTATGCTGGTGACATCTTTGTTTACCCATTATACCCATAGTAAGTCCCCAAAACATAAAATTTATTTTGAGTATTTTGTGGTTTAAGTGGTAATTTTAGAAAACAGGCAGTCTCATGGTGACTACCGAAGTGAAAACATGACACAATATCAAATTTAAAAGTGTATAATATTTAATTCTTCATATTTTATACACTCCGAACGATAATAACAGTATTTCTATGACATCCATAACTTTTTTTTGTGAGACTGCGGCAAACCGTGAGTGATAACCGCCGCCCATGGACATTTGCAACACTCGGAGGGTTGCAATCCGTTGCCACCTTTAAATAAAGTGGGCCCCGACTACCTCACTCACCAGACGAAACGCAAAAGTGTCACACTTCTACTTTACGCCGGTCTTCTGTGAGGTCGTGATACTTACTCTGACGGACCTGCCCATCGTGCAACGGTGTTGCATGGCCCTACCACCGTAAAAACTACAAATATACTTTTGCGTATCCCTATATTAAAAATATCCGAAGGAAAGCGTTCTGAAAGTAGGTATGACGCGAGTTTCTCGCTTTATGTTTGTGCAAAAAAAGTTTTCACTTCGAAAATTACGAAATTTTTATAGTACTTGCTTGTTTATTCATAATTATTTATGGTGCAAGAGCCGCTGCATGGGTATGACGTTGCTATTACTTGTCGTGACTTGAAAAAAGAGTTAGCAAACGTTACATGGGACGTCTCAGTAGTATCTTACAGATAATGCTGATTAGATGATGCTTAGCAACCGACTGTGACAAACTTTCGCCGATCGTCGGTCCATGTGCGAAATTTTATCGAATTATTCTACATGATAATTATTTAAAAATACGAGGTAGATATGACACTAGCGCACCAAAACTGAGACACTCAGTGACGTCAATTGGTGTAATTAGATTGCAATTCTATAGACTGCTATCTCTTTCCGTACCATACGTTCTATATCATCTGTCAAGTTCACTTATACATTATATGTTATATAGCAATGTAAAGCGGAACAATTTTCAAACGCAGCGCAGTATGGACGTACGTCATCTTTATTAATACATCATTGATTATCACTACATAGTATATATCAAAGTCGTCGCCCTATTTGTCTGTCCGTACTCCCTACGTATGCTTAGATCTTTAAAACTAGGCAACGGATCTTGATGCGGTTTCTTTTACTAGATATAGGTTAGAGGAAGGTTTATATGTATAATACATTGCACACGTGCGAAGCCGAGGCGGGGGAGTTCTAAATACAATGTTATGATTAGCCTATCGACATGACGGATGCCAATGCGTTTGTATGTAAGGTATAATATGAGTCGGATGTCGATCGCTGGCGTTACGCCGGATTCCTGAGCCGACTGGAATTCAGTTGAATAGCGAAGTAGTCAGTACTCCTCAAGCGAGGCGAGAAAATCGCGTAATGGGTTATTACGCAATCCGGCACGCTCGGGCGTGCATTTGTCACAGTGCAGTGGGGCCATGAAGATGCGACCGCACGAGCGGCAGCGGAGAAGCTCAGTTGTTCCTTCAAGAACTCATTTAGCAATCACGCAGAGGGATAGATGGACGTTTAGTAGTTCCCACTATCTACGACCCCTACTTTAACGAGCCTTGATAGCTCATTGTCCGGGCGCTCGCCTTTAATTCAATATACTCGAGCAACCTGGGTTCGATCCCCGGAGCTGGCACCAATGAAATTGTCAATTTTAAGTGCTTACTTATCACGCGCTCGGCGGTGAAGGCAAACATCGGGAGGAAACCTGCATACTTTCGAAATAATAACAAAAAAATATTTCGAAAATATGTAAAGTCCGTATGTATGTAATATGTGTATGAAAAATATGTTTTTTTTTATTTTTTCCTTCCGACGTAACGTATACAAACAAGTGGGTCTCGTCAACCGTTCTGCCTGCCATCACCAATCTGTGCTCTAAACATTCTTCTATATACGACGTCCTATACTGACTTTCCAATGGCTTACAAGTAGTACAGTAAACTCATCGAATTCGTTTTTAATTTTATTTTACACCAATGTCTTGAGACTTAGAGCTATTATTTTCTTCTTAAACAAAATCATTGTCTATTTAGCAGCCAGTGACTTTGCCTATGAATGATGACCATTTCGCTTGGTGTTGCAAGGTCTGTCTAATGGTTTATCCGGCACAGAGCTAATCGGGAATTTCAAGGACTTATTACGAGAAAGTACGGGTCACTTAGCCTTTTTTAGTTGGAAGGGAATAAACGAAATACCTCAAGGAAATCATGTTCGCTATTAAAATTGACAATAACAAAGCATCTGCAAAATTATCGCCAATCGTGATTGAGTAGAGAATAATTAGGGGGAGTAATTTTAACTTTAAATGAGAAAAGAAATAAAGCTTTAAAATTAAACTTTAAATGAACAAAGAAATACTGGCGTGGGCCACACAGCAGCCTCGGCTGTTGCACGAATGGGCAGACTCGTCCGGGTAAGTACCACGAACTCACAGAAGACCGGCGTAAAGTAGAAGTCTAATACTTTCGCGTTTCGTCTGGTGAGTGAGGTGGCCGGAGCCCAATTTTCAAAAAGTTGTCAACGCATCTGCAACCCTCGAGTGTAGCAGATGTCCATGGACGGCGGTAATCACTTAACATCTGGTGAAGCGTCTGCTCGTTTGGCAACTTTTCACATTAAAAAAAAACATATAAATGAGGCCTCCAACTGTACGTTTTCACTTTAAACTCACTCAAATATTCCATTCATAGTTAGCGATCGAATGTTTTCTTAGTACCGACAATTGTGAAATAATTGCATGAAATAAAATCCGCCCGCTGGTCTCGTGGCCGCACGCAATCTGAGCCAAGCTTGGAACAGTCGCATTAGAACGATGAAACGAATTGTCCAAGGCAATGGCTCAATGTTTTGTGCCTGCCACGTTTCGAAGAGAGCAGTCACAAAAGCCTTCAGAGCGGATAAATCGATGAGAATGTGGAACGGAAAAACTAAAAAATCTGCACTCTTTTATAACTTATAAGTTCTTATAACTGACAGACTGTTAAAAGAACTAAGGAGATCTCGGTGGAAGTAGTGCGTAATTGAACTAGACAAATTATTTTTGAATTTATACTTCTTTTGGCGTGTTTGGACAAATTATAAGAGTAAAATTTTAAAGGTGCGCGCGCACACCGGCAGACAAAATGCGACATGATAAAGTTGATTGCTCTTATAATTTCTTAGGCTGGTACGTGTATATATTAACTTTTTTTAATGGGAAATTTGGCAAACTAGCAGGCGATCCACCAGATGTTAAGTGATTACCGTCACCCATGCAAATCTAGAACACCGGAGGGATTGCAAATGCGTTGCCAACCTTTCAGAAACGTGGGCCCCGGCTACCTCATTCAGACGAACAAAACTTACTTCCTACAATACTTCCTCTGCATAGTGACCATGGTTAGAACGGCTTAAATAAGTAATAGATTGTTCGATGCGCGATATTCGCTTAGAGGGAACGCTCTGTAAATATTGAAAGCAAGAGGACAAAAGTGACTGCAGACGCGTGGTCTTTCGAAATTATGGTCTTTCCGTGGCGTCACCATAAATAGTTCACACCGGTGTTTTGCGAGTCCTCGGAAAATCCGCCGTCAAGACATTCTTTTGTGAACAATGCTTCAGTCCGCTTCGGCCATCGGAGGCCATTCCACTGGACCAGATCCGTCTTGGGTCTGTTTCCTTACCACAATGGCGACACCGACAATGGACAATGCTCTGGCCTCGCGTGACAACGTCTAGCGAGGCCGAGACGTGGCCTTTCCTAAACGGATTTCTATAAAGCCTTCGAACGATTGCAACTGTTGACGTAACAGTTCAACGGACGGATACGCGGCTTATTCCGCTAGTATGTGTGTGTAATAAAATACATCAGTACGTAAAAATATTTTTTTATTTATTTATTACACACGCACACAACTATCATTATAGGTTGGCACACCGCGATAGTGTAGCCAAAAGTTATTAAATAGTCCAAACAAATAATAAAAAGTAACAATTCCATATAGCCAATTAACAAAGTAAGATTGAATATAATAAAAAAATCATACAAATCACGTAATGGGATACTGCGGTAAAATCATATCTGTGGAAACTAAATGATCTTTGAATTATTTGATTTCCGAAAAAGTTTTCTTATTTACTTACTGTTTATTTGTGATTTTTTTAATTCATCGTCATAATAGTTTTAATATAAATTCAATCAATCGTTAATTTAGCTCCGCACAGTTTTATAAAGAGAACAACATTCATTGACACCAATGAAAAAAAAATAAGACAAAATATTCAAAATGGAATGTTTGAATGTAAACATTCCAAATTCAAACAAATATTTTGGCGCCAAGAATCCGCCACACTGATTTCAATATGTCTCCTGGTACCCGCACAATATAGACGAATGTGACCTGTTAATGACTTTGTAATCGTAGTTATGAGGGAACATACAGACTGATATACATACAGGTCAAACGCGTAACCATTCTTATGCAGATAAACATACACATCGGCTAAACAGTTTATATTGCTACTATATATATACATATAAAAATTGTATATCGAAATCAAAGTCAGTTGTGACCTAGGGGCTAGGTTGTGGGTCTAACGATGTCAGTTTGAATTGTAACAGCAAGCGCCAATAAAAACACAAACTTTATTAAGAACTTAATTGAGTCCTTGGTGTTATTTAAATGTTTCCCTCTTCCAATTTTCTCTCCCCGTCTCTCTCTCTCTCTCTCTCTATTTGTTTCTTCTCTTGTAAACAATGCTGATTATTATTGA